CAGTGTCTCTTTTTCTTCTTTCAGATTCTTCTTTCAGACTGCGTTGGAACAAGATCAATGAAGCAAAGTCATAGCTTCAAGGTGAGCTTAAGTAATCAAGCTTGTCGTTTGTCATTTCTCACAAATGAGCAGTCTGTCCACTTTATTCCCCCTTGACCCCACTTCCTGCAGTTATTTTACAAAAGATAAAAAAAGCTAATACAGAGCTAAAAAAATTAATGGCACTTTCTGAAAATGCCCACAATTAGTACAATTTAATACTCCACTGCGCTAGTGTCTCTCACTTCTGAAGTGATGTTATTTGAGAAATACATCTCCAAATTAAAATCACCTTTTTTTAAATTCCAGGGATTTAGAATGGAAAAAGATGTAAATTAGTATCCCTGCAGTTTAAAGGGTTCCTTTAAACACTAGATAAAATTTAATTACTCTTCTAGATGTGCAGTCATTCTGAGTATGGCAATGGTTTTCTTCAGTGTAGGATTAGGCAGTTTAAAAAACCCCACCACACTCCAAATCGTACAACTTTCCCCATTAGAACAGCGTAGTATCAAGGCCTACCCACCTACCACTAAAAAAAAATACCTAATACTCTAAATAAAGAGTAAATAAATTCAAAATATTATGCATATGCTTTCCAAATAACATAGGGTCCTATGAAGTCTGATTCTCTGTGGGGTTTTAATATTATCAGGGAATTTTGGAACTCAGTTCTTAATGGTGTAAAAAGTCTCTCAACTAGGAGCTTTGAGGCTCATCAAAATGAAAACCACTGACAACAGACCATATAGACCTACCCTTCACACAACCAAGGAACAATTAAATATCACCACAGAAATGATGACTGGGGCTCTGAGATGGTACCTCAGAGAGCCAGCCTGAGGAAAGCACTCTCAAGGGAAAATAGTCTCAAAAGAGAGTTACAACCAACCATCGTTTTGAAGTTTTTTTGTCACAAAAGGAGACTATGTACTAACACACAGTGCTACAATAGCCTAGAGACAACCTTCTCATCTTTTTTAAGGTATACTTCTATGAGTTCTCTAAAGAAGAATGTGCCACCACTTAATAACAATCAAATTACACACTATTTTACCAATTCAAACAGTTTACATTTTCCTAAAAAGCCCTGACCAAGGCAACCTGGCACAAGAGGACATTCAGACCACCTGCCGAACGTACTAACTCCATCCTGCCACCCCTTTATGACGTTGGTCCATAACAACATGAAATAAAAGCAGCAACACCTGTGAAGGTCAGCACTTCAGTAAAACAACCCCGTGTGGTAACAGCTGTCTGTCCTTCACCAGGGTTGGGGGGGGGGAGAAGTAGGCAAAAACTCCCTCATTTATACCCATTATCAGGTATCTGAAAGACAGCATTTTCCTTACCCAGAGCACAGCAGCCTCCATAGAACACACTACACAGAACACAGTTACTACATGTAAATCATTAAGCCACAGGGAAAGACAGAAGATAGTATTTTTTGCCACTTCACCACCTGTAAAAAATGAGTAAAATTCTAGAGATGGAAGTTTTTCAATTATTTAAAAAAAAAGAAAAAATTAAAAAAAATCAACCCCCAAACCAATCAACTAAAAACCCCCAAAAAACCAAACTACACCCCCCTCAAAACATTAAATCTTTTTCTCTCTCTGCCTTATTACCATCTGGGGAGTGAGACAGAATGATTTATTTGAAATTGCTTTGGTTTCCACAGGCTGCTCTTCACCAATCAATCGTTTCTAGTAGAGGAGGCAACTAAGCTACTGCAGCTCACTCAAACTATTTGCTGATGTGCCTACCTGCATTTTTTTCATATTAAAAATTCCTTTAAATAATTACATAGCATTAAAATCTGACTGATTGCGTATGAATACATAAGAAGCTCCTTCTAAACATGAGGAGGAACTTCTTTCCTGTGAGGGTGGCAGAGCCCTGGCAGAGGCTGCCCAGGGATGGGTGGTTGGAGTCTCCTTCGTTGTCCTTGTCGAAGTGTGTCCCGTCCCCCCCCCGCCTCCAGGTCACTATTAGGGTGCACCAAGCCCGGTCTCGCCTCACCACCCCCGGGCTCGCTCCTCCGGGCTTCGCTCCCTCCCCGCCGCCTTCACCCTGGCCCATACTCACACCCCGGCGGCAGCAGCCTTCGCCCCGGGCAGCGGTAGGAGGCGGCCCCGGGTCGGCGTGGCACGGCTCGGCTCGGCCCAGCGCCTCCCCCGGGGCCGCCGGGCGGGGACAGCCGCCCCACCCGCCCCGGCACCGGCCCTCCCGGCCTGGCGCTCCTCCGCGGCCTGCCTCAAGTACGTATTTTATCCACAAACCCCTGTATTTAAGGAGCAAAGACATTGCATTAGGGCACAAAGGGCAGCGAAAAGCCAGCCCGGGCTCGGGTTTGAGCGGGGAAGGAGCACCCATGGCTCATGTTGGGCCTGTGAGGGTCAGGTACCACACCTCTTACCTTCTACCGCACCGGAACCTATTAAAGTCATTACCTCATGAAAGGGTGATGCTGTTCTCACATCCTGATCCTACCGGTTAAATAAAGCCCAAGGATTCCCTGTTCTCACAGGTGTCACCCCATCCTGAGCTCCTCAGAGCAGATCATCTTCCAGGACATGCAAATCAAGAACCTTTACCTACTTGTAAGTGACCAGTGTCTCTTTTTCTTCTTTCAGATTCTTCTTTCAGACTGCGTTGGAACAAGATCAATGAAGCAAAGTCATAGCTTCAAGGTGAGCTTAAGTAATCAAGCTTGTCGTTTGTCATTTCTCACAAATGAGCAGTCTGTCCACTTTATTCCCCCTCGACCCCACTTCCTGCAGTTATTTTAGAAAAGATAAAAAAAGCTAATACAGAGCTAAAAAAATTAATGGCACTTTCTGAAAATGCCCACAATTAGTACAATTTAATACTCCACTGCGCTAGTGTCTCTCACTTCTGAAGTGATGTTATTTGAGAAATACATCTCCAAATTAAAATCACCTTTTTTTAAATTCCAGGGATTTAGAATGGAAAAAGATGTAAATTAGTATCCCTGCAGTTTAAAGGGTTCCTTTAAACACTAGATAAAATTTAATTACTCTTCTAGATGTGCAGTCATTCTGAGTATGGCAATGGTTTTCTTCAGTGTAGGATTAGGCAGTTTAAAAAACCCCACCACACTCCAAATCGTACAACTTTCCCCATTAGAACAGCGTAGTATCAAGGCCTACCCACCTACCACTAAAAAAAAATACCTAATACTCTAAATAAAGAGTAAATAAATTCAAAATATTATGCATATGCTTTCCAAATAACATAGGGTCCTATGAAGTCTGATTCTCTGTGGGGTTTTAATATTATCAGGGAATTTTGGAACTCAGTTCTTAATGGTGTAAAAAGTCTCTCAACTAGGAGCTTTGAGGCTCATCAAAATGAAAACCACTGACAACAGACCATATAGACCTACCCTTCACACAACCAAGGAACAATTAAATATCACCACAGAAATGATGACTGGGGCTCTGAGATGGTACCTCAGAGAGCCAGCCTGAGGAAAGCACTCTCAAGGGAAAATAGTCTCAAAAGAGAGTTACAACCAACCATCGTTTTGAAGTTTTTTTGTCACAAAAGGAGACTATGTACTAACACACAGTGCTACAATAGCCTAGAGACAACCTTCTCATCTTTTTTAAGGTATACTTCTATGAGTTCTCTAAAGAAGAATGTGCCACCACTTAATAACAATCAAATTACACACTATTTTACCAATTCAAACAGTTTACATTTTCCTAAAAAGCCCTGACCAAGGCAACCTGGCACAAGAGGACATTCAGACCACCTGCCGAACGTACTAACTCCATCCTGCCACCCCTTTATGACGTTGGTCCATAACAACATGAAATAAAAGCAGCAACACCTGTGAAGGTCAGCACTTCAGTAAAACAACCCCGTGTGGTAACAGCTGTCTGTCCTTCACCAGGGTTGGGGGGGGGGAGAAGTAGGCAAAAACTCCCTCATTTATACCCATTATCAGGTATCTGAAAGACAGCATTTTCCTTACCCAGAGCACAGCAGCCTCCATAGAACACACTACACAGAACACAGTTACTACATGTAAATCATTAAGCCACAGGGAAAGACAGAAGATAGTATTTTTTGCCACTTCACCACCTGTAAAAAATGAGTAAAATTCTAGAGATGGAAGTTTTTCAATTATTTAAAAAAAAAGAAAAAATTAAAAAAAATCAACCCCCAAACCAATCAACTAAAAACCCCCAAAAAACCAAACTACACCCCCCTCAAAACATTAAATCTTTTTCTCTCTCTGCCTTATTACCATCTGGGGAGTGAGACAGAATGATTTATTTGAAATTGCTTTGGTTTCCACAGGCTGCTCTTCGCTAATCAATCGTTTCTAGTAGAGGAGGCAACTAAGCTACTGCAGTTCACTCAAACCATTTGCTGATGCACCTACCTGCATTTTTTTCATATTAAAAATTCCTTTAAATAATTACATAGCATTAAAACCTGACTGATTGCGTATGAATACATAAGAAGATCCCTCTAAACATGAGGAGGAACTTCTTTCCTGTGAGGGTGGCAGAGCCCTGGCAGAGGCTGCCCAGGGATGGGTGGTTGGAGTCTCCTTCTCTGGAGACATTCAAACCCACCTGGACACAGAATCACAGGATCTTCATGGTTGGAAGGGACCTTTGAGATTGAGCCCAACCACACGTTCCTGTGCAACCTGCTCTGGGTGGCCCTGCTTTGGCAGGGGGTTGGACGAGATGATCTCCAGAGGTCCCTTCCAACCCCATAACATTCTGTGATTCATTCTGTGAATATTCAAGTAGCATTCTGGTTTTCCGAATTATTCTGAAAACTTAAATTACAGATCTAGAAGCGTAAAGCCTCCAGTTTCAGTTCCTAGTTGTTTATTTTCTCTAGTAGAGGAATCACAGCATGGGGTAGTCTTCAGAATAAAATACTCAATAAGTGATCTGGAGTAAGCCTGAACGAACCGTTTGGACACAGCTTTTATTTCTGACATTAGGAAATAAAACTTCATTTGCGGCATGCTTCAGAAATTCTTATTTACCTATTGAGAGCATAAAACGTGAGAAGACAGACAACAGAACAGATCAATTAGCTTAACACACTACTTTCTGCTGACTAACTCATTTTATATTTTCTTCCTTAGTTATGGCCAGGCAACACATAACCTGCAGGGCTGCTCCCATACATTCCCATCGTAGCTCCCATATGACCAGGCAGAGTGGCCCAGCTATCACTCCCACTTCATTATCAACATTTTAACAGTCAGACTGCTTTAAAAAATAGTAAATAAATCTGCAAACAGTAACATAAATGGCTGCAGAGCAGATTATTCCTGCTGAAAACAGTACATATATTTATCCTGTTTCTTTTGCGGTAAATTTTGTGTCTCTATATAACCTGAAAGACTCTACACATATAACAAATATATCAAGACAAACACAGAGTAATATTGAAGCATCTAGTTCTGCCTCTGTAAAAGTTGTGATGCATAAATTAGGTGTTCTTTTCATTACTGCACCTTTAGAATTATCTTGCAAGTTGGGAAATACTTTAGCACAACTCAAGGTATAAAGAAATTACTTTAAATATTCCCATTTTGATTTGTAACCCCTATTGGTTTTTATTGATGGTGATAAGTGCAATTAGTTTTCAGTAAGAGTTATTGCTTCCATTATTTCTAACAATATTTCAGCATTGAAAAACATGCTATCTCTAGGGCCACAAAAATAACCCAAGAAATAGAAAACAAGTTCTTGAGACACAAAGAACAAGAGGGTCAAGAGCAGAGATGCTCAAGTAGATCACAGTTCACACCTGAAATGGAAGACTCTTCTGCCTCTCTGTGAAAGTACATGATCTTTTACACCAGAGAAAACCATTTTTGGAAGTCACTTAACATCTAAACAATATTCCAAAGTGAAAAAAAATTATCCTGCCCACTCAAAATTTTAATTCTTTAAAAGAAGGTATAACATGAGTTCTTCACAGCTGAACGTGGAAAATTCTGTTTCCTCAACAATAAAGAGCTTCATGCAGATAAACAAGCTATGATTAAAAAGACACACAGACACCTTCCCCCAAAACGGTGGCCTTCAAATTTTATTCTTAAGCCTTTTTCAGGCTGTCATTATAACTTTACATTTTGTACAGTATTTTGTGTACAAAGATTCTATGTATCAAGGGAAAGAGTTACCTGTAATAAGATTCCATGTATATTAGGACTGTTGCATTTGCACACATGATATTTAAAAAAATCTCTCAGACAAACCATGTAGAAATAAGTATGCAAAAAAATTGCAAACAAAAACATTGAAGTAGCTAAAATTAAAAAGACCTCTGTGTGAACCACACAGTCTTGCTCAGTTTCTACTAGGCTATTGCAGCCAAGTAATCCTTAACCTCGGTTGGAGTGAGCCTCCTAAAACCAGCTTCGTTACAGATGCCAACTTCAATGTTGTCTTCTGTCATCTGCCCTTCAAAGCTCTCCTGTTAAAGAAAAGACAGTTCAGGGAATCACATCCATGATGTCGTAACAGCAAGAAACTTCTTTCTTAAATATTTTGCTAACCTTTAGTGTTAAGATAGCTGTGTGAATGGCATCTTCAAGCTCCAAATCTTCGTTGTATCTGTAAATAGAAGTTCACATATTTCAGCATGGGAAATGATCTTTCCAAATCCTAATAATCCTAGAGCTTCTAAAGACTCAAACGCTACTAAAACCTTCCTATTTCTGATACAAATATTATCTGTAATCGCTCTGATATTAATAGTTGCAGTTATTATTTGCAAAAAAAATATAATTCACTACACTTCCTACTGAAACCATATAGAACAGTATTTCTGCAAATACGCTGAATATAATAATGTTTATTGCATTGAAATAATTCTCCACAAACACAAGAGTTTAGATAAAGCAAATTTCCTGTGCAGGTGTAAATAAGTAAAACCAGGAAGCATTCTACCCTAAATATTTTAAAGCTTTGTTCTGATAATCTGAAAGCCTCTATTTTTTATTTTTTTTTTTAATCGGGCTGTTTACATGGAGCTTGAACAAAACAGTGTCCTTTCAGACAAGCATCAAATACGTTACCTTTTCTCAAGGAATGTCTTCCCATTGACGTAATTCTTCCCCATGGCTGTTGCTTTCCAGGCAAAGTAAGCTCCCTGGAAAAGCAACCATCTCTTGAGTTCTTTTGTGTAACTGAGTCAAACGATACGCAATCGATTACTTGGTAAAAAGTACAGAAGCTATTACGAAAACACGGGATGTTCTGACAATATAGGAGACTATTCTGGATCACATCCAGATTAATTTGATATGGAAAAACATGCAAATTGTAGAAAACATTTGTATAGGTCCCCACCTACTTTGAAAGATGGATTTAGTAAGTTGTTAGCGTAGTTTTGATTTGGGATTCCTTCAACAGAAATAGTTCATTCGTCCTTGAGAATGATACAGCCAGATCTTTCCCGACGTTCACTCCATATATTCTTCTTTTTCAAGATTAAGTAATGTAAACAACTGGTTGCAAATCAGCCATCTGATTTATCTTAGTTACTAACAGGATATTTAGCCACCACTTCATTCTCTTCTCTGGCATGAAGACCAACAGCAGTTCTATGCGTCCATCAAGTTGCCTTACACAAGACATCTCCATTTTGCAAAATACTTTTTACATTTGAGCATCAGGTAGTAATTAAAATTTCTGAAGCCTATCCATGATCATGATTTTGGTTTGATGTGAAGCACATCAATTCACACATCCATCAAAGGACAGTTTTTCCAGAAGTGCAAACACAGCAAATAAACTCACTTAAATTAACCACTGTCATTAAAGCATATGCATTAAATGTCACAATGCAACAGACTTTGGCCTCCAGTTTAGGGAAAAACTATTTGAGCAGCATAAGCAGTCAATTTTTTTTTTTTTTTTTTTTTCTGGTACTTTCTGCAGAATGCCTCCCTTTATCAACCTTTTCAGCTGCTGAAGTAAACTTGAAGCTACACGCAGACCCCCATAGCATTGGTCTCCACTGTGACCAGCTCATAATCCAGCATATGCTGTACACCCCAATTCGGCTGGTGCTGGAATCGGACTGTCCTCATCTCCCTTCTCTTTGGGACTGTAACTCCACAAGCCCAGCGTTCCACTGCCTTGGAGCAAACAGGACACAAGCCAGCTCTCAGGATGTTCAGGCACATCTTGGAAACACATCAGGTAAATGAGGCTGTTTATGAGAGATCTGTTATAGCCGGTTCAATAGTACGTAATTTAAGACTGTGTTTTAGACTAAGAGTGGGGACTTTCATGTAGTGGGTTAATACATACATGACCTTTAGCACATCCTGACCTTCCTCAGCCTGAGATAATGTTCCATAACAAATTTATTGTGTCGGGGAGATGATTTGTCAGCCAGCAGAAGTAACTGGTAAGAACAAAAAGGGGTAGGGACTGAGAGGAGTCTGCCAGTTGGGAATGCTCTTTTATATATTCTCTGCATCTAGATTGTAATTTTTTATGTGCAATGTCAGAATCCCCACCTATCCTGTGACTGAGCACTGATGGATACTTCTTGCTTTACTTATCTTCTGTCTGGTCTTGTAGTTTGTCAATGGCTGTCCCTTTAGACTATAAGCCGGTGAGAGCACAGACCCTTGTCTGCTTGGTTCTGACCTACTGATGCCCAACAGCAGCTATATTTATAATGCTATGTAAGTTAATAGGTAATAATTCATCCATAAAACAAATTCTCCCTGCTCAGAATGTTGGCAAGCAATAATATGCAGCTTCAGAAAATTTTTGCACAAGAAATTCTTCATAAATGCAGATATGTATATCCATTCTGATCATAAAACTTTGGAAAGCAGAGTGATAGTATTTGAGGTTTTAAGTTACTTTATTGCACTGTAATTATTTTCTCTATCTTAAGACATCTAACACAGAAAAGTCTTTTACAACAATACTTCGCATCTTTTTAAACAGAATTGGGGCTCTTATCAGAGCAGGGAATGTGCTTAAAGAAAGTACTTCTAGTGAATGTTTACTTGACTAAAAGAGGCATTGTCAACGGCTATATTTCTTTTTTTTCAATTGCTTTTTGAATGTTTATAGACCTCACCTTTTATGTATGATATGAATGTAATAGAAATTTAATGTAAAATGACCTTTGAAGGAGTGGATACAGTTTCTTTAGGACTTGCAGCCACCAGTGGAAGCCCAAACTCTCAAACACAAACATTCTGATGTGACTGTGTGTGTTAAGTGAAACTGTCACACCAGTCTGTACTGGACTTTTGAATATGAAAATAAGCAACTAACTAGCCACAAATCTGCAGCATTAATATAGTAAATACATTTCTCAGCAAGAAATGCAGTAGAGCAAGCAACAGTGAGGTTTTGGAGCGCTGCACTGTTTAATCTTCTTTTCCCTCCTTTTTGCCTTTACTGCATTTTCTCTTTTCTTTGCAAAATGGGAAAGAAAAGATGCAAATGAGAAAGAGGAAACCAATGAAATGATTTTTACTGATACAACATGTATTGGTGTTGGAAGTCAAATCAGATAATTTTTGCTTATAATTTTTGCATGCGATCATAAAGATTTTATTTTTTGAA